TGCACTGTGACACAACCAGTGTTCCTCTTTGCAAACAGCACCACTCACTATGAACAGCAACAGACACAGGAGCATCAGCTTGTGCCTTTTGCCTTACAGAAGGCTGCACGCTGCATGAATGACTACCCTTAGGATTTAGGAAGTCCCAGGTTATGACTATGGGCCCTTCCAAGCAGATTTTTGTTTTGCTGTTCTGTTCATTTTAAGGAAATATGACTGAAAAAACACCAATAAATTCCTTAAAGGAAAAAGACGGAAGAGTTATCCCAGCAGGCTGACTCCCACCCCACTGGTATATACGTATATACCACCCAGTGCTGAATCCCAGATCTGAATGTGGACTGTACACAGGGTAACCCTGTGTCCTCAAGCACCACTTGCCAGCACTGTTTCCTCTCTCCCCTGGAAAAATCCCTTCATCACTAAAATATGAGGTCCACTAAATCCATAGCCCCAAGTGCTTATCCCCATCAGCAAAATCTAAAGAGTTATTTCAAAAACATGTTTCCATGGGTGTCCATAAGATTCATGAGAAAAGAGACCATACTGTATCCCAGTCCTAAGTCTTTCATAACCCAGAATACCACTAAAAAACAACAATAACAAAGAAAAAACAACAACAGGTTAATGTTGCTGAAGCAGAAGACGTAAAAAGATATTTCAAAATCAAAATGTAGCAAATGCGCCTGCATCATTTGAGAAGTAAATTGATTTCCCCATTAAATTTATCTCAATCAGACTGGTTTCCCAATAAAATGTGTTTGGGTTCTTTCTTCTTAGAAAAATAAAGACTTTGAATTGTTTTCATATTTTTTATTGCACTGAAACTACATGGAGGGCATTTCACTTATTGATAAAGTAGCAGCTGATAAGTTATCATACAGTAAATGTAATTTCAAAAAATCATTTTTAGAATATATATATTTAAGCTTGTTTTTATGAAAATAAGCCTAAAGCTATTTATTCTTTTCATTAAATTAAAACCAGATATTCTTGTAAGAGAATTTGTTCCAGTAAAGTCAGGCCTTAGGCAAATTTCTTCTAAATTTGTCTTGTTTTCTCATGATTATTAAGTAAAACTCAGCATTCCACAAAGGGAGAGAACAATATTTGATTATAACCAATCATATTTAAGAAAGTCCCTACCATTTTCATTTTTATGATTAATGTTTAAATAAACACCAAAACTCAACCTATTGAATCTAACACAATTTATTAATCAGGGGGAAAAATTACATAAAATTACCTGACACTCTAGTAGATAGACACAATCCCATATATTTCTAGTACTTTGGTAGTTATCACCAAACTTTGAGCAATATCAACAAAATTTTTCAGCCGCCTAAACCCATCTTAAAAGTCTAAATATATAATTCAGAGTTTGGTTTTTCCCAATCTTTTTAACTCCATTTTCTCTATTTTAATCAATTTATGTGAAAAATTTGTTACAATATCTTTCAACACAGAAGAAATGTTCAACTAATGTTCAATGAATGCCTATGTGTTAGTAACTGCTGGCACATTCTTTCACCTATATAGTTAATGCTGTTATCCAAAAAATTCAGTTTGCTTTGTTGTAATTCTCTTTGGTCATATATTTTTCCTTGGAGGGATTTAGGTTTCATATTAAAAGAGAAGAAATCATAATGAAGCTTCCCTGTTCAGAAATCTTTAAAGACCCTCTCAAACCCAATTTGATGATTATTTAATTCTTCAAAATTTACTTTTCAATTTGAGTTGACATAAAATATTATATTAGTTTCAACATAGTGATTAGACATTTAATACCTTACGAAGTGATCACCCAGTAAGTCTAGTACCCGTAGTACACTATACATAGTTTTTACAACATTACTGACTCTATTCCCTGTGCTTTACTTACATCCCATGACTATTTTTATAACAGGCAGTTTGTACTTCTTGATTCCTCTCACCTTTTCAAACATCATCCAACCTCCCTACCATCTGGCAACCATCAATTTGTCCTTTGTATCTATGAATTTATTTCTGTGTTGTCCATTATATACCACATATAAGTATAATCATATGGCATTTGTCTTTCTCTGTCTGACATTTCACTTAGCGTAATACTCTCTAGGTCATCTATGTTGTCGCAATTAGTAAGATTTCATTCTATTTTATGGATAATATTCATCTTTATCAAATCGTCTATTGATGGGCACTTAGGTTGCTTCTATATCTTGGCTGTTATAAATAATGCTGCAATGAACAGAGGTACATATATCTTTCCAAATTAGTGTTTAGGATTTCTTTAGATAACTACCCAGAAGTGGAATTGCTGAATCATATGGTAGTTCTATTTTTAAATATCTGAGGAACCTCCATACTATTTTCCACAGTGGTAGCACCACTTTATAAACCCACCAACGGTGTATGAGGGTTCGCTTTTCTCCACATTCCCCCCCAATATCTGAAAATCAATTAACACGATACACCACATAAGCAAAATGAAAGATAAATATAAAATAATCGTCTCATTGAATGCAGAAAAACATTCAACAAAATTCAACATCCATTCATGATGAAAACTGTCTCAGCAAAGTGGGGAGAGAGGGATCAGACCTCAACATAATAAAGGCCACATATGACAGACCCACAGCTAACATACTCAATGGGCAAAAACGAAAACAATTTCCCTTAAAAACAGGAACAAAACAGGGTTGTCTGTTTTCACCACTCTTATTCAACAAAGCATTAGAAGTCCTAGCCACAACCACCAGAAAAGAAAAAGAATAAATGGCATCCAAATTGAAAAGGAAGCAGTAAAACTGTCATTATTTGCAGATAACATGATACTATACATGGAGAATCCTAACGATTCCACCAAAAAAGTATTAGAACTGATAAATGAATTCAGAGAAGTAGCAGTACACAAAATTAATACTCAGAAATCAGTTGCATTTTTATATACCAATAACAAACTACTAGAAAGAGAAATTAAGAAAACAATTCTTTTTGTTACAAGTGCAACAAAAAGAATAAGATACCTAGGAATAAATACAACCACTGAGGTAAAAGACCTGGACTTGGAAAACTGTAAGACGATGAAGAAAGAAATTAAAGACACACATAAATGGAAGGATGTATCATGCTCATGGACAGGAAGAACTAACATCATTAGCATGCCTGTATTACTCAAACCAATCCACAGATTCAGTTCAATCCCTATCAAAATATCAAAGGCATTTTTTCACAGAACTAAATCAAGTTGATGTTTTAAGACTTCTTCCACATGAGTCCAACACACCTTTTGAAGAATATAACCCACAATTCCCATCTACAACTCCTTGCTCTGGTTAAACTGGTCTATTTATCTCTAAAATGTATTTGCCATATTATACGTGTTATCATGTTCATGAGAAAAAAAGCATTACATAGCTGTCTGTTTGTGTCTAGTTCAGCCAGTTCAAGTCACAAATTTTTGCTTAGAAAGCATATCAATACGTTTTCCTCCAACAATTGCACATGATTAAATCCCATAACAGAAATACAGTTGCTTTCTAACAGATCTAAAAGAACCACTAAATTAATAATACCTTAAAATCTGACATTTCAGAGTTTCTACAAAAAAAATCATCAGTTCATCATGAACTACCTTTTAATTCAAATTTTATCCTGATTTATTTATTCATTTTATTTAATATATAGTATAGTTTTAAAAATTAATCAGCTTTGTAATTTAGTCCTGTATATAAACAAAGCACAAATAATTTAGATTGATATTAATATACGTATTAAAAAGGAATACTAACAGAAGTTATATTTTGCATTGAATGAAAGCAATAAATTTATTTGAAAAGCAGTGTAATATAAATATTTTCATTCTAATCATATACAGAATAGCTAATGCTTTATAAGAGGAAAAATAAATTAAGCTATTTTATTATAGTAATAAGGAATTTTATAGAGGAGATGACAAAAATAAGAAAAAGATCATCTATTTTGCAATGTGCCTTGTAATTTCATAACCCATTAATTTTATATCTAAACATATTGTTTGAATTAAGGTTGAGTTCTGATCTTAGCTGTACCTTAAACATCTAATTAATAGTTCCTATTTTACTATTTATTAGACTTGTTTGCACACTGATACATCATGTTGGTGTTCTTATGAAAAACACATGAAGTTGCAGGGGGAAATACTACACAAATATTTCCTCAAATCATATTTTTAAAAACAAATCTATAATCACACACTCAAAAATAATGAGATTTTATGTTATAAAATATTTAATAAAATCTAATAATTATGTCCATTCATACTGAAGTAAATCCATGGGTCAGAATATTGGGGGACCTGGAAGAACCCTTGAAGGGCATATATTTCCAAGGACCATTTCATTAATAAAAGAGTTTCCCTAGTCCAACTCACTATAGATAAGATGATAGTTAGATAGATGATAGATGATAGATAGATGATAGATAGATGATTGATAGATAGATAGATGATAGATAGATGATAGATAGATAGATGATAGATAGATAGATAGATNNTAGATGATAGATGATAGATGATAGATAGATAGATAGA